AATTCGAGCTCAAAGTTTGTACCTCAAACTGTTTTCCTGCCTTAGACAAAAACAAGCAGATTCCATAGTGCATGAGTAGGGTTTTGATGGCGTTGGAAAACAATCCTCCTAACCTTATTAATAACAAACCAAATGCATAAAACTATAAACGCCCATCCAAGGTTCAAAATGCGACCCTAACCTTGCATTTCCAGTGAAGGGTTTTGAGAGATACGGCCTTCCAAAGTACCCTTCCCAAAACTGTCTCAACACTTAGGAAAAAATGCAGCCTTGTTCGTATTAACTTGAAGTTGGGTTAGAAGCCATAATTTTCAATCAAATTACTTATCTCCACTGTATTGTTGATTGAACTAATTGGGATTACATAAAGATAAAAGGCATAGTTCTAATGGGATAAAATAAGACCAAATTGAAACAACAATCAATTCGAATAAACTAAGATAATAGGAATAGTTCAAATTACATATAAATTAAATTCAACTCTCATCAATCCGCTCAAGGAAGTCCACGAGCTTCGGTCGATCCCACGGTCTTCTTGCTCCTTGTACGACGACCGACGGGAGTAACAATCGGTGGAGGCGGTGGCAAGTTTCGAACTTGGGCGGAGGTAGTTTGGCGGTCGTCGGTGCTATGTCGGCGGGGAATCGGCACTTCCGGGGTTAAGCGGGTGACATCCACGGAAGCTCGGTGGGTAGTCGGAGGGCGACCCCATGGCGTAAAATCGTGGTGTGCCGTCGCGGAGGAACCATCATGCCAAGTACCGGATGATGTATGGCGGGGAGATGGTGGGTAGACCGGGCGGTAGTCGTAGTAACCTCCTTGGCGGGGAGATGGTGGGTAGACCGGGCGGTAATCGTGGTAACCTCCTTGGCGGGGAGATGGGGGGTAGATCGGGCGATACTCGTAGTACGATCCTTGACGGGGATCGTTGTATGAGATCGGGGTGGGACTCGGAGCACCTTGATGGTATGTCGCCCGAGGATCGTAGTACGAGCCTTGGTGGCCAGTTTGGCTGGAACTCTGGCCGGCGCCTTGGGGTGAACTCGGGCCGCCAACTTGGGGAGAACTCGGGCCGCCGACTTGGGGGGATCTCGGGCCGACACCTCGAGGAACAACCAATGGAGGCGGTACTTTCCACCCGGGATATGGCGTGACTTCGGGCTCGATGGGCCTTTCCCGAACCCTCTTGCTTGGCTTCCTCTCGTATGGTGGTGGGGGATCGGAGACATCCACTTGTACCGGAGGTGGCGGGGGTGCGGGCATGGGCGGATATCTACGATGATCCCTCCCTTGAGCTCTGATACATCCGAGAAGACTTTTTGCCATCTTCCTGATGAAGCTCACATCTTCATTTCCCAGCTGCGACCTTCCGGTGGTAATGTCTTTAATCCGCTCAATCCCGTCAGTCTAAATCACAAAACAATAAGTTATGAAACAATTTAGGAACAAAAACAATACATTTAATTATGTAGAGTCGAATATACTTACTAATGCACCATCGGCAGCACCCTCCGGAGTCATGTAACGGACCGATGTTTGCCGATAGCGATCCAAGTACGGGTCATGATACCCCATTCGACCCACTGCTGATGGAGTGACAATATCTTGCGATTGTCGTTCCGCCCACATGGCGATGTATTCCCTGTGCTTAAAGGGCCAATCTCGAGTACCTTGCCGCCCATCTCGACCATGGAAGGCCTTTTGACTTTCGGGGACGGCCAATGGAATGCACTGCTCCCGACCAAACTGACGGAGGCATCGATCCGGCAAGTGCCACTCCACAATCCCAAAACAAATGAGTGGGACCCTCGTGCACCATTGGCCGATATGCTCGGGGAATTGCTGGAGATGCCATTGCACGATGTTCTCCGGGTATGGATCGAAGATGATCTACACGCGCAAAATGAGTAAATTAAGATAGTTAGAATTGGAAAAATACATGTCTCAATGGCAAAAAGGTATAAATAGATCGGAGTATAGAAGTTACCTCTCCTTCCCAAAGTCGCTCAAACCTCCGCCGATACTCATCCAACTTGTGTTGGGCAAGGTTGTCACAAGTGGAGTGTCCGATCCACCTTATTAATAAAACAATAATCGAAATTACAATAAGATAAAACACAAGGGAAAATCAACCAAGAAAAAACATGATGGGTATGAGAAGTTTACCTTGTTCCATAAGCTTCCCCTCTTAGGGGATGATCGATTGGCCAATCCCGGTCGGGACGTTCTACCGGTGCAAGCCATGGCATATGCTCCCAAGCCCAAAATTGGACGATGAACATTGCGCCGCCGACCTCCCTCACAGCTTTTAGAGAGGCATTGCACAAGTTGTTGTAGATATGCGCTAGGCAAGCGGATGCCCAACTATACTCCCCCATCTCCTCCCAACTACCGAGGATGATCCTAAGCCATCCACAACTAAGGAGATTGCTTGCTTTTTTGGAGAAGAACACTCCTCCGATCATGCCAATGAGATAGACCCGAGCATATCTCTCGATCTCATCCTCCGGACTTTCCTCGGTTAGGGGATGACTCTCGTAATGCTCTCTAAAGTACCTCGTCAACCAAGTAATTGACACTTGGTGTTTCCTCATTGGTGGCAAGCGATCGGTCGCATCAACATGCCCCTTCACCGGTACTTTTACTCCCAAAACACTATAGATGAAATGAACCCAACCGGGCATACCGTCGACATCGTCGGGGGCATGATCACTAACGCACACGGGTTTGCCGTCGATGGGGAGATGGGTTAGGATGGCGACATCCTTTAGTGTGATGGTGGCCTCTCCTTCTCTCAAGTTGAAGCAATGGGTCTCCTTTCTCCAACTCTCAACTAGGGCGGTGATGAGTTGGCGATCAACTTTGATGCCGTTAAAATGCCTAATCGAGTCCAATCGTGCCCTTTTGAGAAAGGGCAAGATGGCTGGGTGGAATGGGAGCACATTGGTCGTACCCCTGTAGCGGATTATTGTTTGTGCCTCCTAGAGAAAATTTACACGTTAATTATTATATATTAGTAAGGGTTTAATCCTTATAACTAAATTACTTAAATTAAATTATTTAACTTCAAGCAGAATTTTATTATCATACTTTAGACATTTCATATAATTAACATAATAGCATTATAAATGAATAATAATTTAAAGAGATACGATACATACATATTAAATTATCGTAAAGAGATACATACTAATTATCGTAAAATAAACATACTAAATTAACTAAATTAAATTACATTGTTAATGAATCAATATTTTAAAGAGAAACATACATATTCAATTGTTTGAAATTAATAAAATTCCATTTGTACACATAAATTTTAAATCGTAAGGACTGTTTGGTAAATTATTTAATCGTTTTGGTTGTTTTAAATCATTTAATCGAATACAAAGCAACACTCGTTAGACTCTTAGAAGAGGTATACATCTTCTTAGAAACGCAGTCTTGTTGACAGAAAAAGGGGGGATCCGAGGATCTCTTAATACCCGATTTTCCCAGGAAATGGGAGGATATGATAATCGCTTAAAACCCCATTTCCTTAGACGTGCATCTCTTTATAAAGAGTCGAAGTAAGTGGCGCAATGTATCAGATTAAATTATTGAAAACAACCAACACGATTAAAAATTCAACATAAATTTATTTTATATTTCACTAAATACATAAACAAAATAAAAGAAGGACAAATGGTAAAGAATTGTATGTACCGGGTGAGCGTTCCAAACATCCCTTGACCGATGGTTGGGTTGGTCGTACAAGTCAATTGGATCCAACGGTCCTTGCTCGAGATTTTACCGTTGGTTGTAAATATCGACGTCCTCCGCAGCCTACGAGAAAATAACAACGAGGTTAGTAAATAGATTAATTAAAAAGCAAGACAAAAATTAAACCCGAATAATGAGTACGTACCGCTTGAAATTCATCAAGAAAAACTCCTTCTCCTTGCCACCAATCGGCCATTTTTCCGGCGCAATTCGGACAGAGCTTCGGCTCGGCTCGGCGGGTTTTGAGGAAAAAACCTAAGAAATGTTTTCTAATGGCAGATCGGACTTTGCCGCAACCAATAGACCACTATTTCCTAGGCTTTTGGGAGGGGGAGGGTTTAGAGAGATAAAACTTAGAGAGAGAAGGAAGAATGGGTTGAAGGTGTGAAGAAATGAGAGGGGGAGGGAGGCTATTTATAGTTTTCAGATCGCAGGCTCCAGGGGCGAGTTAGGAATTTTGCCCCAGGCGGATCGCATTCTCCCAATGCGTTTTCCGCTTCCCCAGGCGCAGATCGCACCCTCCCAATGCGGTTTGACTGACACCGGCGCGGATCGCATTGCTGGCGTGCGGTCTGGGATCCAAGGCGCGGATCGCTCCGCTGGCGTGCGCTCAGCCGTTGGATCGGCTATCAATCCGACGATCTGGTGGATCGCAACGCGTCCTCCCCGAATCGCCTCGACCTGGTGCGTTTTATATTTTAGATCGCACTCCTCTGATGCGTTTTACCTACAGATCGCATCTGTAAGGTGCGGTTTACATTTAAAACGCATCTTAGGGGTGCGTTCCAAAAAATAAGGTGCTATTAGTGGAATTTCTTTTACATAGGTGCTATTTTTGTAATTTTTTTTTAAAGGTGCTATTATTGAAAAAATTCCGGCAAATTTTGCTGCTGATTTCCTTGCAGCTAAGGGCCATCTTGTTGATTTTGGTACACATCGCTTCAATGTGTATGACCCTAAACTTGAACATTGGCTTTTGCACGACATCATGGGAATTCCTCATTATCGTCTGATTATTAATACGAATTAGACGCTTGTCGTCGACTTTCTACCCAAAAAAAGATGTAATCTGGGGCAATACCCTTTTTGCCTTCTGTGATTTGGTATCCTTTGGTGACATGATCTTTTATCTGCAAATCTGAAAGGCGCCATTAGATCCAACTATATGTGCCCACTGCTTAATTTCAACGGATGAGAATTCGTGTCTTCTAAACTAGGAACGTGAGAGGGCGGATAGTGATCATCAATGCCATATATTGTTAGAGAGTGGTATAAGATCCAACATAACCTTCTCCCAACAACTCGAGTTATTGGGATCAACTGGTTCATGACATGGTATCAGAGCTGGTTTGGCCAAGTGGTCGTGTGTTCGAATCTCCACGACCCCAAATATTAATGAGTTGGCTTTCGTTTGAGGGGACGTGTTAGAGAGTGGTATAAGATCCAGCATAACCTTCTCCCAACAACTCGAGTTATTGGGATCAACTGATTCATGACACATACAAAGAACATGCTGGAAGTTTCCACATCGTGGACTCGCAAGACTTTTCTTCCACGGAAGAAAATTGCGGAGTTTAAAGATTTGACAACCCCACTAAGTAGTTTGGTTCACGTATCAGTCGGATAGAAACTGTAAACTCTTTTACTTCTGTTCCATGGTAATTATAATTATCCCAGTAGTGAAAGTAGTACCATCTAAAACTTCCTCTATTACGAAACACTTCCCTGTTTCGAGGAAATCAATTGAAAGATAGAAATATCATGTGCTTAGTCTGTCAAAATCCGGACCTTTCTGCAAACATAAACCAGCAGAGCAACTTCGAGGAACCAGAGACTGGGTCTGCTTGTTGGACTGGTTTGAGTCTTGAACTAACTGTAGAGCTCAGGCTTCAAGACACCAACATAGGGCAAATTCCTGTATACTTCTGCGAAGTCCATTCCATACCCCACCACGAAGTAATCTGGACACTGTAACATAGAAAACAAAGCTCAACCGGATTACAGCATGCCAGCAATAGAAAGAAACCCGCAAAGTGTAGGGTCGTCGTCACAGATGAATTTTATATTCAAAGACACAAACTTTAACACTAGATTGATACTGGGGTTCTCAATAAAGTTACGAACTTTCACGATCTGTGAGCTGTGATGTATGGAGGGATGGGAGGGCTATGCATTTTACAAGAGCATCTGGTGATGAAATGGGGCTCTAATGGTTTTGGTTTCCTACTTACTTCTGAACTCCTCTTCGGTTGCTTCATTCAATAACAGTAGAAGGATATTCTACCAAACCAAGGTCAAGAACTCGGTTTTCTTCACAAAGTAGAGTTCTTTTGTGCGAATATGAAAGCAGGTAAGCGTCAAAGAGAGCTATGAAAGGGAAACCCAAACCTCGAATCCTCTGTAGTACTTTCCACTACCCACAACCTGAAACTCAACCTTCCGTCTCGCCGGCTTATCAAGAAACGCACACACCGACACCGACGACGCCCCCCTCTTCTCCAAGTGGCTGATCAGGGTCGCCAGTGTGCTCCCCGTATCCACAATGTCCTCCACCTGTGGAGTAATTCTTATTTCCCCAGTTCCAATTAAAGGCAACGAAACTGAGAGATGGAGTCGCTTACCAGAATAACGTGTTTTCCCCTGACGTCGGCCTTCAGGTCGAGGGACAGCCGTGGAGCGCCGGCGGACTCTGTTCCGCAGCCGTAGGAATCGGCGCGGATGAAATCTACTGAAATCGGCAGCTTGATTTGCCTGACTAAGTCGGCCAGGAAGACGAAAGCTCCCGTGGCGACTCCGACGAGGACAGGGGCCGGGGAAGCAGCGGGAAAGTCGGAGGTGATCTCCGCGGCGAGCTCGGCGACACGGTCGGAGATTTCGCCGGCCGTCCATATGACCTTCTCTATGTGAGAGTCCAAAGCCATTGCCGCAAAGAGACTGACGAGGCCAGAGTTACAGAGAGGGTTTTTTATATAATCACTTTTTCTTTGTTTAAATCGACGAAATCATGGCCGTGCGAAAACGACACCGTTCCGATGATATTCTGGTAAGAGGCTAAGAGCCCAAACTGGGATTACAGGGTTTTAGATTGAGACCAGTACATTAGCAGTGTTCTTATGGTTTGATCAGACACTGCTAACTAAGAAAATCATTGCCGAAAGAAAATTTGATCCACAACATCGACCGGCAAGGCATGAGCTGGATCGACAGCTTTGACTCCTGGGTATTCGAGGAACGACAGTCCTGCAACAACAAACATATTGCACAAAAGTTTACATCACTCAGAGACTAGTGGGTGTTAGTATGGGAAGAGAACTGCAGAATTCCTTTCTGTTAATTATGATTTACTTACCAGCAACTCTGAAATATGTATGAAAGATATCAACTGCGTCATCCGGCCTGTCTGAGATTCCTCCATTCTCCATGTCCTACAATGTTCCCATTAGTGGTTAAAGGTAAACAATCTATTTAAATTAATGCCACAATGGAAATGTAGAGTTTAGTTGATACCTGACAACTCAAAATGAACTTGAGAAGCTTCTCTTTGCTAATCCAATGAGCTCTATCGATCATAGTGAGGCTAGAAAGAACCCACCACGAATAGCAAACCTGTATTGGTTAGTTCAACATAACCCGTGCATAGTCAGTACTTGGGCAGAAAAATGAATTAACACACCTAAGAGAAATATGCTCTAACTTACATCAGGAAGCTTCTCAGGTCGGCCATTAAGACCCCCAGATTTCACTTGTCGTTCACACAGCCACCATCCGAGAAGGTCCTTGTCAACATAATGTAGAGCCCCAGTAATAGCAAGGGCAGCCACACAGCAGAAACGAAAGAACAGTATAGTGATATTAAGAACATTATACTCTGTCCAGCATGAGACTCCCCCCCAGGAGTGCATCCGAATCCACCATCTACGTTCTGACAACTTCTGATATAGTTTACAGCCTTCTCCACATTTATCTTGTCCAAGCATTTCAATATCGAGAGACCACATAATGAAATATAAGAGAACCTGGCAAAGAAAAGGGCATGGCCTAGTCAGGTGGCACCAATTGACTAGTTCTAGATAAGCATGGTATCCTTAAATAAGGAAGAGAGGGGGGGGGGGGGGGGGGGGGGGGGGTTCTTGCAGGAGAGCTATCGGGAAATTTTGGAATCAGTACCGTGTATCGACTTCTCCCCAGATGTCTCCGGAAAAGGATCCATCTTCATTTTGCAGTCCAGCAATATCTGAACTTAACATTTAAGCAAAAACTTGAGAGGATATCTTGGAAGTCCTTGTTTCTCATTTAAATTGCCAAAACGCCAGCCATATAGATTAATGGAGAATTCCAGCTACTACACTCATGCATTCACCAGTTAAACATGAACTAATTGAATGGCAATGAACATAAGTATAGTCTCAGAGCTCGTAAAGGATACAATTTGAGACTTTGTCCACGTCAAGAACATTAAGTTTGTTAAAAAGGGCCAGAACCTGAATGGCACTAAGAGTATAGAGTACATGAGGGTCATGGCCAGCATTACCAGCAAAACCACCTGCAAACAAAGAGCATCATCATCATCCATGTTTTTCCACCATGTGCTCGGAACTAAACTGCATGACTAATCAATCATCAATGACTCCCATCCTAGATTGTTAAATAACTAAATTTGGCAATCAGCATAGGGAAGCTCAAAGTTTCTTCACAAACCAGACTCGTGTTGACACTTCATGATCCATTCGATAATCTCGTCGGAATCCACCACGTCAAGCTTGCCCAGCAGATCCAAAGTGGTCAACCCCCAATAAGCCCTATTCACTCGCAAGTGCTCCATCACAGCAGATTCAACACTATCCTTTCTCTAGAGAGGCAGAAACCAACCACCAGAACAAAGACAGAATCAGAAAATGGCTGTTGAATCATCAAATTCACAATCACCAGTTCACCACCGATACATAAATTCCAAACCAACCTTTTCAACTGACAGGATGTACTCAACATGCTTATCAGCTGCTAGCTCACCCATCTAAAAGATCAAAATAGTGTTGTAGTTTAGCTATCTCAAAAAGAAGATAAGACAAAGCAAGAACACTTCATCCATCTTAGCTTATACGAATCCCAGGTCTCAACACAAGAACATGGCGTTCAAAGTTGCCCAAGTTCTGTTTGAGGAGCTAACCCAATAACTCCAGTGAATTGCTGAATTTCAGGAACTTGGTTTTCCAATGAATTACTGAAATATAAGCGAGCTGCTTACTCAATCTGTCGAAGGCCGAAGCGCACCGTCGGGGGGATTCTACTTTGCCGCCGGTGATGAATTGCAGAGAGTGGAGGAAATTCAGCGGGCAGAGAAGATTCTGTTAAAACGAAGACGGAAAGACGGATTGAGGTTAATGATAGTAAATTCGATACACCAAAAAGTCAACAATGGAGTACCCACTTCATTTTGCAGTAGTAAACCCGTAAACCTAACTAAATCTCTGTCGCATCCCTCTTCTGCAATCAGATTGCGATCGAGAACACCTTTAGATTGATGGTTGCCTAAGCTACAGAACTGAAGCTACAATTCAATCCACTGCTTAAGTGACGTAGCAAAGTGACAACTAGAGAAAACCCAATCGATTCCATTACCAATTAGATGAACCCTAGCTAGCTAGCGACCAAAATGGCTCTCTTGGTTCTGCGTCTGGTAATTCAGTTTTCCCGTGAAAATGAAAGAGAGAGCTAGTCAAGTAAAGTCAAGCCAACCACGGCATATGCATTGGGTTTAGGGGTGGTAAACGGTAAGCCGGTAAACGGTTTACCGACGGTATCCGTTTACCGACGGTATCGGCAGCCGAGCGGGAATTTGGGCGACTCGGTTTATCGAACACGGTATCGGTAAATACCGACGGTAAGTCGGTAATACCGATACCGAAATCCCCCCTTCCCCTGCGTTGCGTTTTGCTTGGCCCTCCCAAAGGTAGGACAATATTCGGTACCCTCCGGTGAGATCCGTGGAGGGCATGTAGGTTCCAGTGAAGAGATCCTTCTTCTCGACTTTGGACAAATCGAAGAGGACGGGGAAGCTTTTTCCCGTCGAGCAGGACGATGACGCGAGGGTTGGTGGCGATGAAAGGGCCCGGGGGCATGTTGACTCGGTAGACCGTTGACTGGTACTTCTACATTCGGGATTTGAAGAACTCGTTGCGGCCTTGGTTGTAGAAGTAATCGAGGCGGTCTTGGATGGGTCCGACTCCAGGGAGGCCATAGTCGCCCGGAATCTATCGGATTGGAGATTGGATTTAGGGGACGGTTTGGTCAAACCTGGGATGGAGGAGAGTGGGGATTTTTCGAATATGGAGGCTTTGATTGGGCGGAGGGAGGAGAGGAATCTTCTGGCGGTGGTGAATCTGTGGGAGGGTGGAGTGGGTTTCGGGGATTGCTGGAGCTTTGGGTTGATGGTGACGAAGTTGAGAGCAGAGGATGCCATTTTTGTTCGTCCCTAGGAAAACCCCTACCCAGCGACTCAGCCATCTCCGCCACCTTCCGGCTTCCCCGCCGCCCGACGTCGCGTCTCACGGTATTTCGGTAATACCGGTTTGTAACCGTTTACCGGTAATTCGGTAATCGGTAAACCGGTTACAAACCGGTATCGGTAATCGATTCCAATTTAGCCACTGTCGGTATACCGAAACTGGTAAATTCGGTAAACGTTTTACAATTTACCGACCGAATACCACCCCTAATTGGGTTCATAGTTCATACATATTTACCGAAATATTACAGGGTAATTTATGCATATGATTATTTTAGGCTAAATTACACATTTGGTCACTCAAATTACATAAATATTTCACGTTTGCCATTCGAATTACTTTTGTTTCTTATTCGTCACTAACTTTACGACTCATTTCATCATTAGTCACCGACCGTTAGCCTCCGTCAAACTCCGGTAACTCCGTTAATGTTTTGATGACAAAACAGAAATGCTGACTGGACCATTAACCTAATGACGTGTCAATTTAAAAAATATAAATAAAAAACCCTCGAGCTCTGTCTCGTCCTTTACCTCCAAATGAACCTTTCTGGCCAGGGTTGCACAATCCGCTTCCACCATTAAAGGCCCTAATTCAAGCTTTGCCACCTCCTTAACTCCAACCATCATCATCCCCTTACCTCTGCTTCTTCAATTCCGCAAGTTCCCTTCTCCCGGCCTCATCACAAAACCTAATAAGAACTTCACATTCCAGCCCCTTTCGAGACTTCCTAAGTTAATCCCCTTCTCTCCAATCAATCCCGCGTCAGTATTGAGGCGGTGGAGCCGATCATAGCCGACTCCTGGGTAGCACGGGAAGGAACGGAGATGCCACGATTTCATCGTAGGAGTGGGAGCGTTGGGATAAGAGGTCGAATTGTGTCGATCTGGATCTGGATCTGTCGACTACAGGGGATTGGAGCTTCACCGACGACCTTTCCCCTTATTATCTTCTTCTTTTCTCCTCTCCTTCCCCATCCCATATTTACGTCAACCTCCGCCATCTCCGTTCTCCACCATCACAGCCCTTGTCGTCGACTACTTGCCCACCGCCCGATCGTCGCCGCATGCGACACTCTTAGTTGGAGATTGACAAAACTCTGCCCTCCACTGCCTCCAGCTTCGGAAGTGCGGATTCCTTCTTAATAGTCCGCCGGTGGAGGTTGTGCTAGTGTTGGTGGTGATGAGTATTAACGGTGGCACTATTAGAGATAAAGAATAAAATTCTTTATTTTCTTTATTTCTATTTTCCTTTATTATTCATCCTAGTAATACGGGTTCCGGTACAACCACCTCTCCACTCTCTGTAACCTCTCCTACTTTCTCTGAACCAACTCTCCTGTAAACATGTATATAGTGAACAAGAGTATCTCAATGCAAATCACGTTTGATTGCAATTCTGTTCTATCTCTCATTCTAAATATTCTCACATGGTATCAGAGCTAGCAACGTTCAGCTAGTCAGATCCAATTCTCCTTTACCTCTCATCATACTCCGTTCTTGATACACTATGTTCTCACCACCATGTCAGGCAATTCTGCTGTCACCAACACAGCCATCTCTGCGGAAATCCCCACCATCATCACTTTCAATCCCGTAGCTCAGCTTCCTTTAAAGCTCACTCCTACCAATTTCGCTTCTTGGCGCTCACAGCTTGAGACCTTGCTCATGGGTCTGGATTTGTTTGGCTACATCGATGGCTCAGTCACCGCTCCTGCTCGCACAATCATAGTAGATGCCGTTGAGTCACCCAATCCAGCTTATCAATACTGGTTCCGTCAAGATAAGCTTATTCTTCATGCCTTACGATGCTCAATCTCTGAATCAATTTATTCATTCGTCTCTGCTGCGTCCACATCCCATGCCGCTTGGTTGACCCTTGAGAAGCTTTATGCGAGCAATGCTCAGTCTCGTGTCATTCACTTGAAAGGGAAATTAGCCAAAACCACAAAAGGGTCTGATGATGTGTTGACATTCGTGAATGATCTAAAAGGCACTGCTGCCGAGCTAGCCCTCATTGGCGCACCAGTTTCTGACCTTGATCTCGTCGTGTTCTGTCTCCGTGGTTTGGGAGAAGAGTACAACGCCTTTTCTGCAGCAGTCCGTGCTCGAGGGCCTGGTCTCACACTGGAGGATTTGGTGGACTCGCTTGTTGAGTTCGAATCTGATTTGAAGGCGCAGCAGAAAACCTCTGTTCTGACTGTTTTCTTTTCACAGGGACAAAGGAACAGCGGCAGCGGCGGTGGCCATCATTCCCCTTGCTCCCAGCGCACGACCTCAGCCCAGCCTCGTTACTCCAGCCCGTCCCACAGGGGCTCCTCTTCTTCGCGGGCCGATGTTCAGCAGGCCCCAAGTCTGTTTCAGCCGCATAATTTCAGTGGGCCATCATCAGGCCCATCTCCCAATCGCAGACAGCCCATTATATGTCAATTTTGTGAACGACCGGGCCACTCTATACGCTAGTGCTTTAAGCTTTTTCCACAAGCTCGTCAAGCTTATCAGACTCGTCAATCTCAGGCTCATCACACCGTTGTTGTTCATGATAATTCTCCCGGTCCATGGTTACTTGACTCTGTGGCTTCTCACCATGTTACCTCCGATTTAGGCAATTTATCGATCTATTCTGATTACAATGGCCCGGATGAGATCCTGGTTGGCGACGGACCAGGTTTGCAAATTACCCATATTGGGTCCACTAATCTGCACTCCTCATCGTCATCTTTTAAATTGCAAGATGTTTTATGTGCCCCTGCCATCAAGCGTAGACTCATTTCTGTTGCCAAGCTTTGTCGCACTAATCCCATTACGGTGGAATTTATTGCTGATTGTTTTGTTGTGAAGGATCTTCGCACGGGGGCGCCAATTATGAGAGGGGCAAATAATGGGGACGTCTATGAGTTGCCTAGTGATGTGGATAATGTTCGTTTGGCTCTTGTCTCAACTCGTACCACCTCCACTTCCTGGCATGCCCACCTCGGCCATCCGTCCACTCAATCTCTCAACAGTCTTCTTCGTTCCCAATCTTTGCCAGTATTGTCCTCTCTCGTCAGTAGTCGTTGTTATTCTTGTCTTTCCAATAAAAGTCACAAGCTACCCTTTGCCATGTCTTCTTTATCAACCACTAGACCATTTGATTTATTGTATACGGATGTTTGGGGACCAGCTCCCATCACCTCTATTGATGGTTTTCATTATTATTTGATTATCGTTGATCACTTTTCCCGTTATACATGGTATTATCCCTTGAAAAAGAAGTCTGATGTACTTTCCGTGTTTCTTGATTTTCGCAAGATGGTTGAAAACTATTTTTCCACTACCATTCGTCGTCTTTACTCTGATGGTGGTGGTGAGTTTCAAAAACTATGCTCCACTCTTGTTGCTCATGGCATCAGTCATCTTCTTACACCTCCTCATACTCCTGAAAAATAATGGTCTCGCTGAACGCAAACACCGCCATCTTGTAGAAACTGGTATAACTCTCCTGCATCATGCTAATCTTCCTATTATCTTTTGGTCATTTGCTTTTTCCACTGCTGTCTATTTAATTAATCGTTTTCCATCCTCGGCATTGCGTGGTCAAATTCCCTACACTATGTTGTTCAACCTTACTCCTATTTTTCATAAACTTCGAGTATTTGGTTGTCTTTGTTATCCTTGGTTGCGTCCCTACTCTGCTCACAAATTGGATCCTCGTTCTCATCCTTGCATATTTATTGGCTACTGTCCCCAGCGTAGTGCCTATAAGTGCTTTGATCCTCATACTCGTCGTATTTTCTTGTCCCGTCATGTTCAATTTGTTGAGAATTCTTTCCCTGGGTTTTCGGCTAACTCCCCTACAGCTCCACCCTCTGTGGACTCTCGGATTCATGATGCGGTCCCGACCATTATCCACTTGCCACTCACTGGGCCACCTGCTGCTTCGCCCGCTCCTCTTCCCTCCTCAGCAATTGGCCTAACCGCTGCGGATTCTTCCACTGCATCGCCTTCAGCTGGTGGGCCTTCCACCCCACCTAGGTATGCGCCCCACACTCCTCCGCCTGGGCCTTCTGGGCTTGAGATCTCCTCGCCCACGCCCAGTGTCCCACCTCCTGCTAGCCCTCCTCCTGTTCAGCGTCCACATCGCATGACCACACGGGCCCAAGCCGACATTTATAGGCCCAAACGGCTCTTCCCTGCTCTGCTTACCACTTCCTCTAGGCCTGTCCCTCTTGAGCCTCGGTCGGTGAGTGAGGCCATGCAATTTCCAGAGTGGGATGCGGCCCTCTGTAGGGAGCACTATGCTTTGCTTACTAATCACACTTGGGATTAGGGATGGCAATTTTGACCTGACCTGTTTTACCCGACCTGTTTGACCTGTTTTGGGGCGGGGCGGGCATGGGTACTCTCATCGACCCGACCTGTCCTGACCCGTCCCATTCTCGACCCGTTCTTGCCTAAATTACACGTAATTTTAGTCAAATTACTTAGGATTTCTCTTTTATTACATCAAATCTTAGCTATAATAAAGACGTAAATTAGTGAAAACCTCAATTTCTCCAATAATTTAACTATATTTCTCATAATATTGTTTGTTTCCTTGGTCATATAATAAAAACAACGAATATTTCTAATATTTTTCATATAAATTGCATACCCATTGGGTCGACCTGCCCCGACCCGTGACCCGTGATAAATTACCCGACCTGGACCCGACCTGCCACGGGGTGGGTCTGGGTACCAAGAAACCGGCCCCGGACCTGCCCCATTGCCATTCCTACTTGGGATCTCGTTTCTCGCCAACCCCATTTTAATGTCCTTGGTAACCGTTGGGTTTATCGTATCAAATATCACACTGATGGTTCCATTAATCTCTACAAAACTCGCTTTGTGGCCAAAGGCTTTCATCAGCGGCCGGGGGTTGACTTTCAGGATACATACAGTCCGGTGGTCAAACCAATTACTGTTCGGACCGTCTTCACCATTGCTCTCTCTCAAGACTGGCCCATCAAGCAGTTTGATGTTAATAATGCCTTTCTTCAAGACCCTCTTACTGAGGAGGTATACATGGTACAGCC